AATGAAGGGATTCGCGAGGATACATGAATGTATTGATTGAAACTAAGTTTGCATGCTTGATTTATCGGATAAAATTTAAAATCATTAACAAAATCTTATATTGACATGCTTTTATTTGAAGCAAAACATCTTTGCCCTAATGTATTCTTTGCAACAAACTTATGTTACAAAACGAATGATCTTTTGAAAACTCTTACTTAGAACGTTAAACTATTGAATGGCTAGCATCAACATATCTCACATACAATCTCTGTGGATACGATAAAGCACCCCCAAAAATACTTCTCAATAGTAATCGCTAATGATTTGCAACTGCACTTTATCTCTGATATCCTTATGTTTGCAGGTTATGCAAAATTTACATGAAGCCTGGGTCTTATTCTTGTGGTTTTATTCCCATCTCCAGCAAAGAATGTTTTAGCCAAAGTTTTCCAAAGGAGGAGATAGTAAATTTTTTGGATTTTGTATTGGCAAAATTTTGGTCAAACAACATGTTGTTAGCAACACGTTAAACCAGATGTTTTGTTATGACAGTCAGACATCGTCTTCAACATGATGTTGTGACATGTGCTAGGGCATGTTATACTAGAAAGTTAGGGCATGACTATTTTGGTATTTTTAGTGTGTTCTGATTCACACATATGCGTTATTCATGGGAGTATATTGCTAGAATTTCTGTTTTGACAGATTCTGTTAGTTTTCACTAAAATGATCCTTGAGCCTTTTTCAGAAACTTTATATTTTGCTCCTATTTTTGTGCTTAAGATTATGCTTATGATTCAAATTTGATTCCAGATGAATTGCACTTCAAGAACCCAAGACCACGAGGTCTGAAGATTATTTAAAGCAGACCTAAACTTAATGTATTTCATGGCTTTAACTTTTGTTAAATAAGGGGAGGTTTGAGAGTCTTAAGCTTTGAGAGTCTTATTTGTGTGACTTTTGTAAGTCACCCATGTTTCTTTTGATGCATTGAGGTAGACTAGTTTTGTACTGTTAATTGTCCACTCTAAAGCTTTTAAACAAGAATGTATTGTGCTTGGTTGAAGCTTTTAAGCAAAACCGGGTATTGTCTTGGAAGTGTGCTACTTCTATTATTTATTGTTGTTGAATTGTCTCTAGGACTGTGACTAATTATGAAGTGAGAGGGGGATCTCATATCTAGAAGGTTTCTAGGTAGAAGTTGCACAAGGTAGTGATTAGGTGAGAAGTTGTAAACATGGGAGCTTAGCTTTGAACTAATGTTATCATTGTGAATTTCCTTCCTGGCTTGGATGCCCCCAGATGTAGGCGACGTTGCACCAAACTGGGTTACCAATTGATTATGTTATTTATATTTCTCCAATTTATTTTATCTTTGGTTTATTTGTTCTGTCAGATATAACATGTTGTAACATTTGGCTTGACATTATGTTCTGTTGTGAGGACATATGTATTATCTTGTGTTAGAGTGCCAGAATTTCACATACCTTCTTTGAAGAAATTTTTGGGTCTCTCAAGACAATTTAATTGGTCCATAATTTTCACTTAAGTTGTTGATGAAAACTTATTCATCCCTCATGGTTCTGAATTTTCTAGATCCTGAGAAATTGTTGGTTCAATTGTTAAAAGAAAAGCTAAGAATATGAATCTAATGGTGACACACATTTATAGAAAGAAAAAAAAGTGTGTTGATTTTCTTTTTGGATGAGAATATGGACACAAAGAGGTATAGAAGGGAGGTTAAATCTACCCTTCCCCTTTAACTAAATTTCAAAAAAAATCTAGGTCCCGTAAATGAAATCAGAGATTTTAAGAAGCGCCGAAGCAGAACTCAAAAACAAAAGAACTTGTAAGCATCTCAATAAATTAAACCACGTGAAATAATACATGATATTACTAAGTTCTTGATTGCTTCTAATGCAAGTTTCTCACAAGACAACTAAAGTGATTTAAAAATTCTTCACATAGATATTCTATCAGGCCATGATTGGATTCATGATAGTTCTATAAGATTGAGACACCGCATACCTAATTTTATACTTGAAATATCTATTAGCAAAGTATAACTTACGTGGCATACAATCAATGTAAATATGCAATATATGCAATAGTGATATTAATGGATGCTAGTAAAACAAAGGAGTTAAGGGAAGAAGAAAAGATACACGGAGATATATAGTGATTTGACGTTCATCCTCGATTTTCCTACTCCACTTTTCAGTGGTGTTAATTAACCACTGAAAAATAATCATGATCTTCCATTATTTTTTATAAGTTTGATAAAAGCATTTTAGTTACAACGGACTATCACACGATAAGTCCTTTCATTGATGCAGACACTCAAACTTCTAACAAAAATATGATCTCTTAAAGATCTTGTTCCAATAACCTTGTTATCCATAATAACCAACTCCAAGTATTCGTGTGTAGAAATCCACCTAATCCCACTGATTTCTTGTCCGAGTGTAGCCACTAACTAAGTGTTTATTGAACAACTCCTAACTTTGTATGCGAGCAATCCTTCTCCAACGCCACCAAAGAAGGAAAAATCCCAACTCCGCCTTACGAACCCTTGATACTTGATCTTGACAAAGTATTTCTTGGAGTATATTGAAAACTTCCTTCTCAATCGATAACAAAGAAGAACAAACCGCATTTAATAAATGATACATGCACCTGTTACAAACATCAAACATCACTATAAAACATTAGGTACTCTAATGTACCACTAGTCTTCTTCAACACTCAATATTTAGAGATGAAGGTCCTCAACAATGGAAAAATATTAAGGATGGAGATGATGAGCAGTGCAATAATATCTCACAAACAATCTAATAACACAAGCTGTTAGTCAAGAAATTAGATCAATGTCAATGAAGAACACACACAAGGTTCTCTCAAATTTATGGGTAAATGAGTCTTGGTTCTTAATAGTTATCATGATCTAAATTAAACATGATGAACACACAAGATTAATCAACGCACTCATTACAATTCATAAGAAAAAACAACAAAGTTGCGTAACAATAGGATTCAACAAAAAGGAGTGAGTCTGACATGAATTACACTCAAGAAGTTGTTTTAGAGAAGAAGAGAAAGAGTTAATGGTCTTGGGTATAGAGACACTAAAGAAGAGAAGACAAATTTTATTTTGTCTCTGGATTTTCTTATCACATGTTTCACACTATCTCCTTTATATCAAAAGAAACAACATATTTATATCTAAAATGGAAAAATTGGATATTGTAAAGTCATGATTCGAGTCAAGAAAAAATCATGATTCAAATCACAAGAAAGTACGATTTGAATTTATGAGAGAAGAGTCGAAATATGAATTTATCAAGACGCGTGATTCGACTCATGGATAACATATCATTCGAGTCTACAATTCGAATCAATTTTATTTTATGATTTGAATCAAGCAGTCTAGAAACAAATCTCAATTTTTCACAATTTTAAGATTTGAATCACATATATAACATGATTCAAATCAAACACTCAACATCATGATTTTAAGAGTTCTAACTTGTAATTCAAGTCAAGTATGTTGAAACGACAAGAGAACAACTTGCTAGGCTCAAAATGAAATATTATCAAGGAATCAAACTCTCAAAATATGTTGAATAGTGTATTGTCCAAAAAAGTATAGGCTGTGAATGTTTTCTCCCCTGCAAGGGCAGGGAGACATAGAGGCCCTAGCAGGTATATTATACGAATGGGTGAGGGCTAGTTCACGGTGGCGAGTATCCCTGTACGGTAGTTTTTGAGGCAATTTAAGGGACCAACTCACGTGAGGTGAGAAGCTCTGCTGGTGGCCAGTGCTAATACGTTGTAGGTGGACAGTTAAATTAATGGTGTTAGGGTTACTGTACGCGAAGAGCTCTATGAGTAGTATTAGGTGGTATTGAGTGAATATGACTTAATCCCTTTCTATTTGAGAGGTAATCTATTTTTAAGAATTCTCCAGGGCTATGGTTTATGGCTTCCTCGACAAGATCTCGTCAGCCCCCCCCCCCCCCCCCCCCCCCCCTTTATGGAGGTTGTTGATTGCCTATATCTCTGAAGTCAACAAGGACTTTTTCTTACTTAACTTCTATGTTAAATGGACCGCGTGGACAGTTGTACTGAACTGCGTCTGAGCGACTCATTTGTAAGGTGATGGGCGCCCTAATCTAAGACTTTGTAAAATAGAGAAAAAAAACAAATAGCGAGGGGTCTTAATGGTACATTTGCTAAATAGACGAAACAATCAAAATATGAAATACAAATAACATACAAGCACACAAATATAAAATAAGAAACAAATTACAAATACACAAATAGATTAAAACAATTAAATTTAAATTGACAAAAATATCAAAACAAATAAGCGATATTATATGATACCGTGAGTGCTTTTCATGTATTGGCAATGTTACTCCATCTCTAAATTGCCATTCATTATTGGTAGTCATACCTCACTTTCTTGGTTGCAATGTAATAAAAAACAAATTAAGAATACCTAGTGTTAGATTCAAATTCCATTAGAGAGTATGGTTTGATTCCCCGCCGTTTTGTATTTTTTTTTCTTTGGTTATGAATTTTTGATGGTGCAGCTAATAGTTGGTCCACTCTTACTTAAAAAAAATGTTTGTAAAAAAAAAATCATAATAAGAGGATATCGTCTCATTCATTACAAACATGTTATGTGGGCATTACTTAAATCAAACTCAAACTTCTAACACAAATTGGTTTTGAGAATAGAACCAAGTTGAACCGGCTTGATGTGCTCTAAATTCTTAACGATTTTACACAACTGGACGTTGCATATTTTCTTGTTATTCACACCTATTACATAAAGTCACGTACGTAAATAACTATGCTTTCAATTTGATCGTTATATCCAAAGGAAACGGTTGTACAACTCTTTTAATATAATTATTTTAATCATATGGTCCTTCACTTCTTAATAATCACCTTTAAGTAGACTCAAAATTTTATTAACTTTCTCATACATTTTGTTTAGTTTAAAGAAAAAAATGCTAAGAATAATGAAAAGTAGGTTCTTAAATTTCTTAATACTAAGTTTCTTATTTACAAATTTATTACAATCTTTTGATGCTCAACCTGTTCCAACTCCATCTCCAAATTCACATTCACCCGCCGCCCCTGCTCCGTCTCCAATTTTTCCTCCAACTTCGCCTACACCAGTGCCCATTCTGAATCCCAACTCGCCTGTTCCAACTCCTTCTCCTACACCTTCTCCTTCTACAAATGCATCAGAACCGGAACCTCCTGCGGCTGGTCGAGGAGATCCTTCTGGTCTTAGCGGCGGTCAAAAGGCTGGGATAGTCATAGGAACATTACTGGGAGCAGCCCTGTTAGGTTTCTTTGGATTGGTTTGCTGGAAGCGCCAAAGTAATGTCAGAAGAAACCGTTATAGTAATGCTGCAAGAAACATTGAACTTTGAACTTATGAAGTTTTTTTTTTTTAATTTTTTGTTTTGTTATATTTTTATTGTTCAATTAACTTTCAATCCAAGGCAAGAAAATAAGATCACTTTGGAATAATAGTGGTTTTGTTAATGATAATCATAAACACTTGTCGGAGTATCCTGTTATTGTTTTGTTCCATTTTTAAGTGTGTTGGATATTTTACAAACTTACAATTCTAGTTGTTCTATTTTTTTAATTAACAGTAGTATTAGACTAATGCTAACATGTCTTTTAAAACACATGTTAATGATATTTTTGTAAAAATATGTTTATTAAAATGCGTGCATTTACTATTTTTAAATTATAAATATTATTTTATTTTATTAAAAAAAATTATTTATAATATCATTAATTTATGTCTTAAGCGCACAATTAGCAAGAACCTTATTATTAATATATTAGTTTTGGTAGCCGTTTTTTTATAATAAATAATATTTTATTATTTCAATGGATTGACTTAACTTTTGAAATTTAAATTTATTTATAACTAAAATGCTGGGAAATTTTGATCACAAAATTCCTAGGAACACAAGTAATTAACCTTGAAGGAGAACATTACACTATATATCTAACAGAAGTAGGCGAAGAGGGACAGTTGAATAATGAGGTTTGAGTTGATAGATGGAAAAATAATTCAAAAATTCTCTAAAAAAAATAAAAGTATAGTTGAACAACAAAAACAAGAAGCATCCATGAATATAGAATATTTTAACTATGACATCCCCAAAAAGCCCTCAGCTAAAGACTTATTTAAGGACACAATCAAGAGACTAATGGGAAAACTAAGAAGATCAACTTCTTGAAGTTTCACATAGCCAAAGGCTTAATGCATATATCTCCAGGGATGTTTACTGATGATGATGAGGAGGATAGTGAAGAATAGTATCACTTATGTGTTTCTTAGTTTTTAAGTGTATTTAATTTTTTTGTCTTTCCTGTATTATTTTAATTCTTGCAATTTACTGATGTCTATAATTTGAATTCTAGTCTTTTGAATTAATAAAATAATATTTTTCTTCCTTAGTAATATATTTGAATAAGTATACAATGCGCTTTCATACTTACATTTTTGTGTAGCATCTTTATCCGTCTTTTTGATTTTGACAAAAGACGAGAGAAATATACTCTCAATGGGAGAAGAGTATACTCTCTACTCAAGTCCGGGGGAGTTTAACCACTCTAAATTTTACCTACCGGTTATTTTTTTACCACCTCTACGAGAGATGTGTTATCATCATCAAAATGGGGCGAGTATGTGGATCTATATGCTTGCATGTATAGTTAAGAAGTGATCTAATATTATGAAACTCATTGATAGCAAAATTCAAGAAGCAACTACTTAGCTTTGAGGATGACATGGTTTTGAATATGACAACACTTAAAATGGTTTTGATGATGACAACACTTAAGTTGGTTTTGATGATGACATAACTTGATGTCATGAAGTTATCTAAAGTCGTCAAAGATGCACATGGTGGTTGATCAAGTTTTCTTTTCAAATCAAGCCACTACGTCAGAATTGACATTTAGCAGCGCATACAAAGACAACGCTTTTAGAAAAAGCGCTGCTAAAGAGGAATAAAAAAAAAGAAAAAAACTGATAACCAAAGACAGCGTTTTTTCAGAAAGCGCTGCTAAATGGGGGTCCTAAGACAGCGCTTCTAAAAAGCGCTGCTAAAAGGGGGGTCTAAGAGAGCCCAAAGACATCGCTTTTTAAAAAGCGCTGCTAAAGGGGGGTCCTAAGGCAGCACTTCCAAAAAGCGTTGCTAAATGGGGGGTCTAAGACAGCCCAAAGACAGCGCTTTTCTAAAGCGCTGCTGTAGGTCTAGTCTACGAGAGCGCTTTTTCCATAAAGCGCTGCTATATGGGTTACATTAGAAGGTCTTTGAGAGCGCTTTTTAAAGCGCTGCTAAAGCTATTAAAAAGCGATGCTATAGGTTTATTAGAATTAATTTAAAATACCCACCAGAATTTTTATGAGAAACAGAACAGTCATTACGTATTTCTTTCTTTCTTTTTCTCTGGCGAACAAAGAACGTTGCCCTATAAACCCACCGTTGTCGTCCAACCGTCGCGTCCGTCCAACCGTCGCCCTCCTCTATTGCATTTCTCCGCCGTTCACCGTCCCTCTGCTCGTCTGCATTGCATTTCCGCCATTGTTACGGTATTTGAAGTTTTACTCTGGTTTTCTTTTTTACGTATATTTTCACCATTGTTGCTGTAATCTTTAAGTAGAACTGAATATGTTTTTATTATTTGAATGAAATCAAGTTAAGTAGAACTGAATATGTTTTCACCATTGTTGCTGTAATCTTTAAGTAGAACAAAGAGTTTTTATTTGAGAGTTTATATGAGAGTTTATATTTGAGAGTTTATATTTGAGAGTTTAGATTTGAGAGTTTATATATGAGAGTTAAGTATTTGAACTGAATATGTCTTCTACAAGAGTTTATATTTTTTAAGAGAGTTTATATTTTGTATGTTTTAAGAGAGTTTATAAGAGAGTTTTGTTTGTGATAACTGTTTGGTCATGAAATGTTTAAGAGAGTTTATAAGAGAGTTTATAAGAGAGTTTTAAAGAGAGTTTTTAACTATTGTTTGAGAGAGTTTCAATGTTTAAGAGAGTTTCACCATTGTTTGTGAGAACTGTTTGGTCATGAAAATGCAATGTTTATAAGAGAGTTTATAAGAGAGTTTTTAAGAGAGTTTTATATGTATAAGAGAGTTTTTAAGAGAGTTTATATTTTTTAAGAGAGTTTTATATGGATAAGAGAGTTTTATATGTATAAGAGAGTTTTATATTTTTTAATAGAGTTTTATATGGATAAGAGAGTTTATACATATATTTTTTAAGAGAGTTTTATATGTATAAGAGAGTTTTTAAGAGAGTTTATATTTTTTAAGAGAGTTTTATATGGATAAGAGAGTTTATAAAACCAACATGAATATGGTTTTATATGATATGGTTTTATATGTTATTATGGTTTTATATGTTTAGTTAGGATTTCTCAATGTTTAGTAAGGGTGTCATTTTGGTTTAAGGATTATCTAGTAATTTTAATATGATTTGTTTTGGTGGATTATCTAGTATTTTTAATATGATTTGTCTTGGTTAATTATTAATATGATTTTAATAAAATTTATATTTTGTCTGCTATAGGGGTTACCTGTGAAGAGCAAAGTTGTGATCGTTTCCAAGCATCCTATTGCGTAGCATTCTTAGAAGTTAGTGATTTCCTTACAGGTATTCTCCGTTTTGTTTAACTTTTATAGTTTAGTGTAGATTACTCAATTAGTATGGATAAAAAATGGATGTTTGATAATCGATTGTCAAAAGAGTACGAGAATAGGGTATCGAAGTTCGTTAAGTTTGCTGTTGAACACGCCAAAGACCCCAGTAGGATCACATGTCCTTGCATAGGATGCTGTTATGGGCGTCGAGTTGACGTCGTTCAGTTGGAATCTCATTTAATGAGACATGGAATTGATCGAAGTTACACATGTTGGACATTACATGGTGAGATAAGTAACGAGAATGTTGAACCCCGGAATAATACGACATGTGCTTCAAAGGACAATGACAGGGATACATATGATTGTGATCGAGTCGAAGAGATTGCAGAAGCACTTGAAGAAGATCTTCAAGATTGTCCCAAGATGTTTAAGAGGTTGGTAAGCGATGCAGAGAAACCGTTGTATAAAGGTTGCACTACTTTCACAAGATTGTCCGCGGTATTAAAGTTGTACAATTTAAAGGCGGGTAATGGATGGTCAGATAAAAGTTTCACAGAGTTGTTAGCTCTACTTCAAGAGATGCTTCCGGAGGATAATGTTCTTCGCAATCGAACCTATGAAGGTAAAAAAATGTTATGCTCTATTGGCATGAGCTATGATAAGATACATGCTTGTCCAAATGATTGCATTTTGTTTCGAAATGAATATGCATCATTAAACGAGTGTCCTAAATGCGGTGTATCTCGGTATAAGAAAAAATTGTCACCAGCAAAAGTATTATGGTATTTTCCTATAATTCTGAGATTCAGACGCATGTTTCGTAGTGAAACAGATGCAAAACACCTGACTTGGCATGCAGATGATAGAATTGTAGATGGGAAGTATCGACATCCGGCAGATTCACCACAGTGGATGAAAATTGATAATGATTATCCTGATTTTAGAGAAGAAGCTAGAAACCTTCGCTTGGCATTATCGACTGATGGAATGAATTTGCATGGTCTGCAGAGTATCTCACATTCCACCTGGCCTGTAATTATTATGATTTATAACCTACCTCCATGGCTATGTATGAAACATAAGTACATGATGTTATCTATGTTAATTTCTGGCCATAAACAACCAGGGAATGACATAGACGTATACCTGACACCTCTAATCGAAGACTTAAAGAGTTTGTGGGAGAACGGTGTGGAGGTTTATGATGGATATAGGAAAGAAAGTTTCAATTTGAGGGCGATATTGTTTGGCACAATTAATGATTTCCTAGCATACGGAAATCTATCGGGGTATAGCATTAAAGGTCAATGTGCGTGTCCTACCTGTGAAGAAAACACAGATTGGACACGGTTGGAATTTGGTCAGAAGAATGTCTTTCTTAGTCATCGTAGATTCTTAAATTATAGCCATCACTACCGTGGGTGGAGAAAAGCATTCAATGGAAATTCAGAACAACGTAAAGCTCCACCTACATTGACCGGCGAACAAATTTTTGAAAAGGTGAAAGATGTGAGTACTAAGTTTGGCAAGCCTTTTGCTCATACGCTTGTCACACGTGGGTGGAAGAAGAGGTCAATTTTGTTTGAGTTGCCGTATTGGAAGTCGTTGTATGTAAGACATTTTCTTGATGTTATGCATATTGAAAAAAATGTATTTGAAAGTGTTATTGGTACGTTACTCAATATACAAGGAAAGTCTAAGGATGGCCTTAAAGCAAGAAAGGACTTGGTAGCAATGGGAA